ATGTTTATTTTAGTATCATATGCTTTATAATTGCCTTTCAGTTATCCATTTCACTTGTCTTTAAGAATATAGGAGACTTGGAGTTGACAATAACAGAACCTGTGTAGAAATAGACAGGAAACCACAAACAGGAACAAGGCCAGGTTGCATAGCAACGCTCCCGGTCACAAGGGTAGATGAGACGTGGCTAAGCTCAACTTATCATGATTCTGTCTCGTAGTAAGAGGTGCTGTCCCAAAAACTGTCTATGTGCTTAGGGCATTGAAAGGTCAGGATGTTTTTCTTAGAATTTCACAGATCAAAATCTGCCTGGCGACAAGATCACCAAATGAGGGGTCAGAACGAGGTCAACAAACCAACCAAGGAACGAGGATGAAGGACAACACGGATGACGTCAGATCTACCGTCATTTGCATATTCATGACTGTATTATAAATTCTCTGTGGGGAGGAGAGTAGCTGTTCTGGCTTCCTGAAAGAAGCTGTGAACCATACTTCTGTGTGTGGATAGGGCTTCAGATAGAGACGGAACCCAGAGCTCTGTATTGCTTTTCTTGAATATTGTAATAAATATCTTAATGGACAGATTTGTATCTGAGGCAGTAGAACAGAGTTTATTGCCCGTTTTGGGGAGCTCAGGTGCGGGAGAAACAGAGTCGGACTGGAACGATAAACAGTATCGAGGGATCAGGCTGGGAGGACAAGGCAGAATTTCTGGTCGGTAGTACAGGCAGGGTCTCGATATCAGAATAGCAGTTCAACAAGGACAAGGCAAAATCAGTGGGTAATAGTGGGTAATACAGGCAGGTTTTCGATCTCAGATTGACAGGTACTATGAAAAAATGGCTGGAGAGTCTAGGCAAGGCAAAGAACAATCTGGCAGCTTCCCACAGGTGTAGGTAATTGAGATCCAGGTGAAATCAATGAAAGTGATGAGGTAAAGTTCGTGGGAGTCAGGGTGAGCAGGGGGCAGGAAGTATTGTCAGAATAAAAGCAGGAAACTGGAGGCCAGCGAGACAGAATCATGATAAGTTGAGCTTAGCCAAATAACCCTTGGGGCTCCTGTTGTATCACATTTTTACTTATATACTTGTCACATGTTCCTCATGTTCTTCTTTTTTCCTTTTAGGCAGGTTTCATTTCAGTTTTGAATGCATCCATTCGGAGGATAACAGATAGGTGTGATGGTTGTTAAAACATTCACAGAGGCATGCTGATTTTGTCAGCCAAGTATAACACCTGCGGCTTGAGAAATTTTTTTTTTTTTCAAAATGTATTAGTTTGCTAATATGGTATAAAGATGATGGGGGAAAAGAAGTCAGACAAAAGGATAAAGACAGAAAGGTACAGAAAGAGGAAAGTACAAGAATACACAGACCATGAGAAGTCACTATAAATCTGCTACTCTCGTTCCAGTGCTTACGCATTGTATACTGCATATATTGTATGCACATGCCCTACACCTGAATTGATTTACATTTCATGCATTTCACTGTATTTGTAATAACAGCTTATAAGAATGTGACTGTCCTTAAAATTTCTTCTTAGCATGGTTTAATCCTGAGCTTCATTCAGACAATTGTCATGTGATTTTTCACACCTGCTTTGAATTGCAAAATATGTGCATATGAGTGTTAGAATGTAGAATATTAATGTGAAAAATTCTCAAGGATGATAATCAGAACAGCTCATCAACTAAGCAATTTCTCTCTCCTTGGTCTGAGGGCCATTGTAGTTTTTTTCTGAGCTGTGTTAGCTGTTGAAATGTGTGTGTGTGTGTGTGTGTGTGTGTGTGTGTGTGTGTGTGTGTGTGTGTGTGTGTGCAAAAATTGATGAGTAACTGAAAATTTGTCTGGATGTGAGAATGATCTTATTTTAATGTAAATGGGGTGATGTCTCAACCACTGCATGCAGCTGAATATATGCTAAATGTTAAATTCTTAAATTTGATCATATCAATTTTAAAGAGATCTGGTGTTTTCCTTTGTTTCTTGCAGGTCCCCTTTTTATGAACTAACATGGACAAAGTGGTCATCAGTTTCCTGCTTTTGGGAACCATAGTTATGATGGTCCATGCATGTCCCAAATACTGTGTCTGCCAGAACCTCTCAGAATCTCTGGGGACTCTGTGCCCCTCCAAAGGCCTGCTTTTTGTCCCACCAGACATTGACCGACGAACTGTGGAGCTCCGGCTGGGAGGCAACTTCATCCTGAAGATCACCATTCAGGACTTTGCCAATATGACCGGTCTAGTGGATCTAACCTTGTCCCGCAACACCATCAGCACCATCCAGCCTTTCTCTTTCATTGACCTGGAGACACTGAGATCCATGCACCTGGACAGTAACCGATTGACCGAACTGGGACCAGATGACCTCCGAGGTCTGGTCAATCTGCAGCACCTGATACTCAACAACAATCAACTGAGTCATATCTCCAAAGGAGCCTTTGATGACTTGTTACTGACATTGGAGGATCTGGATTTGTCATATAATAACTTGCGAAGTGTGCCTTGGGAAGCCATCCGCAAGATGGTCAACCTTCATCAGATGAGTCTTGACCATAATCTGATCTCCTTCATTGCTGAGGGGACCTTTACAGATCTAGATAAACTAGCTCGCTTGGACCTCACCTCCAACCGTCTGCAGAAGCTCCCTCCAGACCCCATCTTTGCACGTTCTCAGAGCAGTATAGTGATGAGCACTCCTTATGCACCTCCACTCTCTCTAAGCTTTGGTGGAAACCCATTGCACTGCAACTGTGAAATGCTTTGGCTTCGAAGGCTGGAACGTGAGGATGATATGGAAACTTGTGCGTCTCCTGCAAGTCTAAAGGGGCGCTACTTTTGGTTTGTTCGAGAGGAGGAGTTTGTTTGTGAGCCCCCTCTGATCACGCAACATACGCACAAGCTACTAGTACTAGAAGGCCAAACAGCTAGCTTGCGTTGCAAAGCTGTTGGCGATCCAATGCCCACTGTACACTGGGTTACTCCTGATGACCGTTTGATCAGCAACTCCTCCCGTGCAACAGTATATGAAAATGGCACCCTGGACATAAAAATCACCACATCCAAGGATTATGGGATTTTTACTTGCATAGCTGCTAATGCTGCTGGGGAATCTATGGCCTCCATTGAGCTATCAATCATTCAACTCCCCCATCTGAGTAATGGTACAAACCGTACTACACAGTCCAAATCAGGGCTTTCAGACATAACTAGCTCTACCAAGATCAGTAAAGGGGAGCCTAAACCCCTGCCAGAGAAGGTGGTGTCTGTATCAGAAGTGACCACCATTTCTGCTCTGGTCAAATGGACTGTTACTAAAACAACTCCAAAGGTCAAAATATATCAGCTTCAGTACAATTGTTCTGAAGATGAAGTCCTCATTTACAGGTAAGACTAATTAATGAAACTCAATTACATCCAAGCAGGAGCTGAGACTGTTTTGGTCAAAGTGGTAAATTAGACAGAGATATAATCTTAGCTCATCTTTTTGAGTTGATCAAAATTACTTTTTCCTAATCCTTCATGGGTTTTCTCTTTTCCTTAAATTGATGATTGGTGGGGATGCTGTTTTCACATTTTTAAAAACATCCACAGTGAAATCCTTGCCCAGAACCATTAATTAGAAATCCAAGAAGGAAAGGGATTATAGAACCTCATTTAAATCTATCCTTCTTAAGCTGCTCAAGTCCACAAAGTGTAAATTTGGAAACTGCAGCTGGAGATTTTTTAGCTCCATGAAATCAATTTCATATGTCACATGAGACAGTGAAAGCAGTGACATTCAACCAAGATAAGTGAGCTGAAAATATAGAAAATAGCCTCTGCGTTTAATGCTAAATCAATTTGGGAAAGACATTAAAAAGGACCAAATGTAGAGGGCTCTACAAACAAACAACAACTATGATCACCTATACTGTCCTGAGTGTGAATCATCATTTGATAGCTCTTAAATGCTTTCCAGAATTGTTTTAATATTCAAATAATATATTTGTGTAACCTTTTTTTGGATGACAAAGTTGACCCTCCTGGGCATGGCTGATACCAGTCTGACACAGTCTGTGGAGAGATGTTCTGCCATTCTTCACAGCTATGTGCAGACATGTGCTGTTGTTGTCTACCTTCAGCTCTAACAAGCTCCAAACTGGTTCTGTTAAATTCAAGTCAGGAGACATATTCGACCGGGGCATAGTTTCCACATTTATCATCTTTAAAAACTCTTGTGTGATTTTTGCCTGTATTTACAGTGATCATAATATTAGAAAATTCTTCTCTGCTCAAGCTTCTTAAGACTTTTTATTTAGTATTTGGGCATACAGATGTGCATTCAGTGTGTATATCTCAAGTCACTCATTTCCCTCACTTGCTTCTTTTCCTTGTGTCATAGTCCCATCCACATAAGGAAAAGATGTGAGGAAAAACATGAGAGGAGAGAGGGCTTGAGGAAACACATTATTACTGACATAAGATATTCTTTGAGTGTCCAATCACACTGATTTTTGATAAAGGGGCACATCAGTTCACAAAAAACATGCACAAAGGGGATGGTCTCCTGTATCTTCAGTCGTGGCTTCTTCAGCACTGTCCTCAGTTCTCAGGGCTGATATAAAAGTTTTGGAATGCCCTACGCCCTCGGCCGGCCAGAGCAACTTCCAGTTCAACCGAGGACATAGGAATGATCTTATAAGAGACATGAAATGTACCCAAAGTGCCATCAATAAATGTCATCTCCTATAGACCTTTGGCCATCATGCAGCCCAATATCAGTACGTTACTGCCTCCATGTTTCACAGACGACAATTTTCAGTCACTGTGGTAGTCCTGACCAGGTGCATGCCAAAGGCTGAACACCACCAATGTGCAGCCAACATTCATTAAATTTCTTCCTGTGTTCTTTGGCAAAGTTTAGCTTTGCAGTTTTGAGTTGTTTAGTCAGCAGTTTTTTTTTGTGGACCCTGTACACATAGGTTTACTGATCAACAAACACTAATAACTGCAGATAATGATTGTGCACTTACTCAAAAGTACTTGTCTGTTTATCAGTGCAAGGTTGTGTAAACACTAGCACTGTCAATCGATTAAAATACTTAATTGTGATTAATCACGATTGTCCATAGTTAACTCATGATTAATTATAAATTTATTGCACTTTATTAATCTGTTCTAAACAGTGGTGGAAAATAACTAAGTAGATTTACTCAAATATTGTACTTCAGTTCTATTTTGAGGTATCTGTAGTTTTAGTATTTTCATTTTCTGTTACTTCATACTTTGTACTATATTTTACATTCAAAATTTGTACTTTTTATTCCACTACATTTATTTTATAACTTTAGTTACTAGTTACTTTTCATAACAAGATTAGTAAAAAAAATACAGTATAATTATAAGACCTTACTGATCTGGGGTGGAAAATTCACAAGCTACCCAGCAGTAATTCAGATTAAATGCATATAAGCTATCTGAAACTATTTCCCCCTTTACCAGCTGCAACACACTGATATTGAACTGGGGTGTGCTTAGTTTTGTTGTTCACTGTAAATAACCTCATGGATCCTTTCACAGAAGGCCACCTTTAGAATGCAGACAACGATATGTACAGCATCAGAGCAGTGGTGAAACTGTTAAAATGGCATATTGTGGATAATTAGTTTTATCTCAGTGTTATGCTTCCTCCAACACTTACAGTGGATAGTGAAATCCTTCATCCAATAATGTATTCTGCATATAATGTACCTGTAGTGTGCATTCCAGCAAGATAATTGAGAAAATATTGGAAGGGTAAAAAAAAGGTTATTATCTGTGAATATGAGATTAGAACTGTGCACAATATTGGATATTACTTTGTTCAAGCACTGTGAATGCAGTGAAACTATCCCTGCAAATTCAGTAATACGGTGTTTATCTGATTTCCTTGCTTGCACACATCAGTTTGTCATGATAGAGAAAAGAGAATAATATGAATTTTCAATACCCTTGTTGTCTTTCTGGTGATGGAAACACTGGATGAGTCATCCCTTCTTGTTTCATGAATTTTCTCCAGTGTATACAAAATTGCAAACATTACATGTGCTTTCTAAACACATTCACTGATTTGCAGCAGCTAAATAATTTATCAATAATTATTCTTACTGATGTTCCTGATTTTGTGGAAACTCACAATCATTGCTAACGCAAAGCACCATAACTTATACATTTATTAGTTTGAATGCTAGTTTGAAACATAAATGATACACACTTCCCTATTATTTTGTTATTTTCACATTTGGTTGATTGCCTCTTAATTCCTTGTATAGTGATACACACAGTATAGATACCAGCTTTTGTCAAACTCGATTTGACAGTTCTAGGTGAAAGTTCACCCCTCCCACAACAGGTGTAAGTCCCACCCCCAGCCTCCCTCCTCTCCCAGGTCAAAGGTCACCATCCTCCCTCCCCCTCCCACCACAGGTGTAAATTCCTCCCCTCCCAGGTCAAAAGTTTTTAGATTCAACTGGTTCTTTTATCTGAAGGCCCCAAGAAGTAACACTCAGGAAACAGGAATCAGCTTTACGTAGATTTATTTTCTTCTGGTTAAATGCAGAGTTATTACAATGCTGGGTAATAGGAAGTAATTCACATATATCTTCTCAGGCTGGGACTGCCCTGTACATGTGTGAAACTCATATTATCTTTTAATCTGTTGACTCAAGGTTCATACAAATATGAACTCATATTATCTTCTAATCTGTTGGCTCTACACTCACAACATGAACTGGACACAAGGTTCATACAAGGTTCATGCAAATATTCTAGAATGTTCAACTAAGCAGTGTGTGTGTGTGTTGTTATTTTCAGCCGTTTCTTTCTAACTGAAAGTAGACATGCAGTTAGCATCTTATCTATAGTTCCAGGATGACACTTATCTCTGCAATCAATTTATGCACATTTCACCAAGAAGACAAGAAATACTACTAGTTGATTCATAGCTGAATATTATGACTATGATGCATGCATAAGACCTAGGTTAATACTGATACATGGAGCTGTTAATGAAACACAGACAAATAGTCATACTGAACTTTTCCATTATAAAAGCAAAATAATACTGATAATAAGTAGAAAAATAACTTTAACTCCTGAAATCCAATCCTAACAAAGTTCACCCCCTCAGGTTCCCATACCCCCTCCCTGCGTCCTCACCGGGCACAGCTGTTCTCCCCCCGATAGATGAATCTAAAAAATAAAGACAGGCTAATGATTATGTTTGTAATGTTATATAGTGAATAAAACAAATGGTACATAGAAAGTATAGTAGTGATTTGTATATTAAATAGAGTAAAATAGGAGAAAGTAAGACTTAACTTGATATTTAGTTTCAAAGGAGACCCATCAGAAACATAAGACAGCAGATGTCCTTGAGTTATTTATTAGGGGTAATGCTGTAGGTGGCAAAACAGCATTTGTTTGAGATGAATCAAAGCCTAGCATATGTTTCCGTCACAGCGTGTTTTTGCAAGAGAGCTGCAAAAATAGGGTAAAACACCCAGACACAAGTCCTACGCTTAGTCAGGAGACCATGAGATATGGGTAACGAGATCAATCATAATCTATTTCGGGTAAGTGCAGATGTCTCCTAGAGGGGTCATTGTACTCTGGGTATGAAGTATTTCCAGCCATCCCTCAGTCCATAAGATGTATACTAGTATTTATAGTCATTATAAATAGGGGTGGTCTAAACATGGTTTTGCATGCCACTCAGTCTGATGATTGTAGACACTTCACACTCGGTACTTCAACATGAATCCAGGTAGCCCCTGAAAAGAAAAAGTAATGCATTTTTATTTTATGTTTTACGAAAACGTGTATGTTAACCAAGATCATTTCATTCATATCAGAGGCAGCTTATCGCAGCATTAACGGTATGCGTCCCGAAGAGCAACTCAGTAAGTATTCTGTTACGTTTACAACCCTTTGTATATATTAGATATAATCCTTCCCCTTTTTTGAAAAAATGTTTTTTATCCCAGGCAGACAGCTATTTGAGAGCCTATGAACAAGCTCTACATCAACAACAATCACTCAAGAGACTAAACCGCGAGGCGCCCGGTAAGTTTAAAGAATCATGTTTAAAATATATACACCTCATGCGGAAAATAAATACTAGTTCTCTATTCTCTAAAAAAGAAATCGGCACTCTGCGTGATCAGGAACAGCCATCCCTAACCCAGGACAGTTTGGAAAGTAAGTATCAGCGGCAGTTAAGCTTGTGTGACTATATGTAATAATAACGGTTCTCACCTCGTGTAATAATAACGTTTTCAATTCAGTTCCAGACTGTGTGCTACTTCAATGCAGTGGGGGCTCCGAGGTTGTCCCCCAAGAAGAATTTTCAACCGATCAAGATCATG